CAGCTAAAATGGTGGACGTTTCTGTACAGTAGTTGTTTTGGTTGCTCTAGGTTTCGACAGCATTGTAAATAGGGCTGTGCAATTATTCATCATTTAATTCTCAGAGCTGATGTTTTGGGATGTCTCCCAGTCTATATATTATCATGTTTTGTTTTGTTTTTTTGTTAATTTATACTCCTGTGTTAATTGCAGCAATTACTCTACCTCACTCTCAGCTCATAATAAAACCTGGTGCTAGACATATTGCCAACATATTTCAAAGAGCAATAAAATACCAGGCAGAAATGATGCAACTTAAAGCATCTTAGGTCAATGCATTCGCAGTACAGGGATGAAAGCATTTTCAGTAGTTTCATTTTAAATCAACTGGTGAAAATGATAAAGCAGATGCAAAAAATGTTTTTTCACATGATTGTAGATGCAGCCAATAAATAAATAAATAAAGAGAATTTTGATTTGGGCGATGCAGTGGCGCAGTAGGTAGTGCTGTCCCCTCACAGCAAGAAGGTCGCTGGTTCGAGGTTCACCTGGGTCAGTTGGCGTTTCTGTGTAGAGTTTGCATGTTCTCTCTGCATTCGTGTGGGTTTCCTCCGGGTGCTCTTGTTTCCCCCACAGTCCAAAGACATGCAGTACAGGTGAATTGGGTAGGCTAAATTGTTCGTAGTGTATGAGTGTGTATGGGTGTTGCCCAGAGATAGGTTGTGGCTGGAAGGGCATCCGCTGCATAAAATATATGCTGGACAAGCTGGCGGTTCATTCCGCTGTGGTGAACCCAGATTAATAAAGGGACTAAGCCGAAAAGAAAATGAAGTAATAAATTTTGATTTCTCAGTTCATGTCTTAATTTACTTTTAAAGGTTTTCCCATACTAAATTTACATCTATCTGAAATGAAAAACACTTCAATTATATGTTCATCTACATCATATAATCTACTTTCTGTAAACGGTCCAAGACCCTGCTTTGCTCTAAATGGTCAAATGGCTACTATTTGTTGTGCATGTCACATCACCTTATCTGAATCTCTACTCTTCCTCAGCACTTCTAAAAGTGTATAATGCTTATCATTCTCAAGCCATCTGATGTGTTTTAGATTACAGCTCTGCCCTTTTATGTTTGGCCAGAGGTGAACTAGTCGCTCTGACTGAGCCTGGTTTCTCCCAAGGTTTGTTTTCCACTTTCATCAAATTGAGGAGTCTTGTTTCCGTCTATTGGTCTTGGTTGCTTGCCACTGTTGCCTCTGGCTTGCTTGATTGGGGTTGGTGGAGCTGCTGAACTGAATCAGCTAGATCTACACCAGTATTCTACCACAACTGTAAGTAATATGCAAAAATGTTCTACCATCTGAAATATTATGGCGTTTAATTCTCTTTTCAGATATGTCAGTCAAACAATAGTGTCAGTTTTACTGTAGAAATTCAATCTTTATCCCTTTTGAAGTGCTAGCGGATTTACTTTTGCAGCATTAACAACACAGCATCTTCTAAACATGTTGACAACACAAATCAAACACTTCCAGAGCTCGACTTCAACTAAAGTGTTTCAGCAACAAAACAGACATTGTATGTGGGCATCCATCGACTATACTGAAATTATAGAAATTTGTTGCAAACCTACAAAGGTTGGTGCAGTGTTTTAAGAAGGTTTCATGTTTACACATCAACATTTTTAAAATGATCCGCATTAACACAATTTCAGAAAATGGCCTAATGTTTTACATATATACCAGGCGCATTATTACATATTTGGCACAATGAAGTTAGTAAGCTAGTAAGGAGGTTAGCGGCTGTAAGGAAGTGACAATAGCCCCTTTCACACATACAGACCTTTCCGGAAAATTACCGGCAATTTTCCGGAAAGGTTGTATGGTGAACAGGCCCTTTTTGAAAATACCGGTAAATTCGTTCTGGCTATTTTCCGGAAAGAGAAGTTGTAACATTACCGGTAATTTGCCGGAATGCTGCTCTGTGTGAATGCAGAAGGAAGATTGCCGTAATAAGCGCGTCCACGTCTAGAACGGGCTGACGTGAGACACCTGCTTTAGCCAATCAGAACAGTCAGACGCATTCATGTGCGCGCGGTTTATGAGAATAAAAGCCTTTGAATATTTTTTCCAGACACCTTTAGCTGCTAGATGTTAGTCAAATAATGTTTCTATGTTCCTTCTTAATTCTAACTGTGTAAATAATTATCAATAAAATGTTTATGATAATCCATTGTTTGTTTACCTTCAAGCTTTGCGTGTGCCTGTGAGCGCCCATAGCGCCAGCACACACACATATCATGCACATCTCGACATGCGAAAGTGTTTCCCTATGTTTTCATTAGAGTTGTACTCAATACTGATCCATCGGAAGAGTTTGTAATGTAGTCAAATGTTTACAAACACAAGCGCAGCCGTTTAGAGGTCATTTCTGGTTAATGATGTCAGAATTTACCGGCATTTTGCGATGGATGTGTGAATGCTCTTTTTTGGAAAAATTCCATAACGTCCTCGCCTGTGTGAACAGCGCTTTTTTGAATATACCGGTAAAGTAGTTCCGGAAATTTTCCGGATATTTACCGGTATCACTATGTGAAAGGGGCTAATGTGGTGTCGGCAGCTCGACGATGGTTTGTATGTAGAATTTGTTGTGTGTCTATGATAAATAGTAAATTTACACTATGGAAACCACCACCACCACATACTATGCCATTGTTGTGTTTGTTTGTGCTTGTACCTCTCTAAACAAATACAGTGCATGACGTCAATATTTTAATATGCTCTCATTTTCAGGTGTTTGCATTGACACTGCTATGACAGTGTTTTCAAAAACATCAACTTTGTAACTCATTTTTTAAACGTGTGCATTTGCAGTCCAAACAACACTGTTGTCTGTTTACCATTTTTGTCTGAAAATATTTTCATGTAAATGGCCAATAACACTGTAGTCTCTTACTGCAAAAAAATGCTTTTCTTACTTAGATTTCTTTTTGTCTTGTTTCCAGTCCAAATATCTAACAATTTTTAAACCATGACGCATTTCATAAACAAGCAAAAGATATTGGGCTCTATTTTAATGATCTAGGCGCAAAGTCTAGAGCACAAAAGCATTAAGGGTATATCTGAATCCACTTTTGCTATTATAAGGACAGAAAAATACAGTTTGCGCCGTGGCACATGGTCTAGCAGGGTTGTGCTTATTCTCTTAATGAGTGATGGGTGTGGTTTGAGCATAGCCTGCAGTAAACAATCCACAGTCTCATTTCACATTCACTTTACCAGTCAGTTGTGTCACACCAAGGTGCATTTCAAGAGTTCACACTTGGCTCATGATGATTAAAACAGCTTATTTGGCGTGCTGTCCCGAGAGAGAGCCCTGAGCCCTGATCCTTTGATGGTGGGAGGAAACCGGGCAACCCGGGGGAAACCCATGCGAACACTGGGAGAACATGCAAACAGACAGAAATACTAGATGGCCCACTGAGGACCCGACGCCATTGGTATTCTTGCTGTGAGAGAATAGTGCTAGTCATTGGGCCACCATGCCGCCCATTCTGGATAAAAGTGGAAGAAGGGGAGGAGGAGGATTTCTTCCAGACAAAGATAGTTGTAGAAAGGAAATGAGGATATATATAGTGACTTGGAATCCTTTGATTGGAGGATCATGATTAGCTAATGTGGGCCAACTGGGTCAATCATAAGCACGTGCTCCTCTCGAAATTAGGTTAAAATTAAACTTAACTTATTTACATGGCGGTCTTTGTAAGTGGAAAACTGAATGCTTCACTATCTGCAGCAAGGATAAACAACGAGCCTCCTCCATTCAGCCTCTTTACTTTCTCTTTACTTTACTTTTTACTTTACTCCTTTACTTTCTTGTTGTACGCACTCCACTGAAGACATCCATCAGTCTACATATTTAATTTTGTTTGTTAAGCAAAGATTTGTTGCAAAACTATTTCTAAATTCAGTTCAAATTTCCAGCAAACGAATAAATGAACAATAAGTAAGATGGGTTTATATCCAAACACACATCCTATTCTTACGCCCTATACAAGATGTTTTTTCATTTGTAAAGATGTTTGCGTAGTGCTGTACATCCTGTATTAAGGGTAAGTGTTAAAGGCACACATATAATGCATTCTGCGCTGGACTTTAGACCAGCGTTCAGTTAGTCAATGGGGCGGTCTATTTTAGTTCCTCAAAAAAGCAATACACCAACATTGCGCCTTAACAAGCTTCCTTCCTAGACCGGAACACCCAAGAGTCCACAAAGTGGCGCAAATGGATTTACTATTTAAACAACGTGGTGCAAATCGGGCCAATTAGGATTGCGTTGGTCTGAAAATAGCAACAAATTGTGCCAAACATGTCTTGCGCTGGGACTATGAAATGGGCCATTGTCTTGCTTTAAGAAATAATAGGCCAAAATTAAGTGATTTTTTCCCTTAAAATAAGCTAAATTATCTGCTAATAGCATAAGGAAAATAATCTTGTTTTTCCTTTTTAGATAAGATCATTTTGTTTACCCCTTGGCAGATTATTTAGCAAAAAACATGCTTAGATTTAACATATTATTAATTTTAAAAGGACTACATGTTTTGCTTGTCTAGAAAATGCTTCTTGTTTGATATTTGGACTTAAAAAAACTGTTAAAAAAAACATTTTTTGCAGTGCTGTCATCACTTCAGAATGAGTGATTTCTTTTGGGAGAAAAAATGCATAATAGATCTACTTTAAATGCCTTAGCAAACCTTATTAGAAAGGTCTATGTATTTATATATTTGGCCGTCCTGTGCATTTTGATTGGTATTTAATTATTATTCAGCTGAGACCTAAAATATTAACCGAACAAGAAAGAGCTCAAGTATGATCAGATTCCTGTTCACGTCTTTAAGACGGAGTAGGGGGAGGAGACAGAGACACATGACTGGTTTTCAATGAGAGAAACAGCGTGGAAGGAGCCGGAATGAATAGATGAAAAAGAAAAGAGGGCAGAGCGTACAGGAGGAACTTACTTTTTTGTGTGGTTTTCTTAAATATGACAGCATTCTCGCCAGAAGTGTAGAATTTGAAGTACGTGCAGTTGGATTCTGAAATGAGATAATGAGGGAGAAAGGTGAAGAATGAAGATCAGTCAGAGAAACAGAAAAAGGCACTTGAGCACTGGCTTATAAGCCCTGCGAGGGTCATTGTGTATTAATGTGTGGAGGACACAGAGCAGCCTTCTCACATATGGCAGTGAGAGAACAAGAGAGACGGAGAGAGCGAGGCAGATAGAGAGGGAGGGAACCAGAGAGAGGCAGATGGATAGAGAGGAAGAAGGGCAGAACGAGGCAGACAGACTCAGGTTAACATAAAATCCACATTCGCTTCCTCTTGTCCACTGCTGCTTGTCTGTCCTCGTCTTATATTGCAGGATTTTTCACTCATGTACTCTATATTTAGACCTGCAACCGGGCAGCAGTCAGAGTTTATCCATCCATGCACAATATGACTGACCTTTCTGCAATAACAGTGACCTGCTGCACACTTGTCTTCTATCCAGAATGCACCCTCAAAAAGCCATCTGTGCTCATTATGCGTTCTTATATAGTCATATTATTGCCCTTTATTTGATTTAATGTCAATCATATCATATCACAACATATCAAATTGTAATAGTTTCATATTATACCAAAATATTTTTTCCCTTGATCATAGACCACTGTAAAACATGCAGGGTTCCACACAATTCATTAAAATTTTAACAAATTTATGTGCATTGAACATATTTAAAAAAAAAATTAAGTTAATGAAATCTCAAGAATTGTGTTGTTTCAGCTCATTTTAAGTCAGAGATGCCCAAAGTGGGGCCCGCGGGCCAAAGTTGGCCAATGGTATCTTTTAATTTGGCCCACCATCCCATCTTTAAATAGAGAGAAAGTGGTGGGAAGGTGGTTGGGGTGAATAACTTTGACAGTGATCTTCATTTTGAATTTAACGTAAACTTTTGTTTCTTCATTTTATTGCCGAGCTACAAAATAGCCAACTGAAACTAAATGATTCAATTAAAAACTGTAAATGAATCAGACTTTTAAAATTTAAATGCTGTCAGCAAACTGCACAAGACATCTGAGAGCAAATCAAAGTAAGCTAAACTGGTGTATTTAACATTAAACTTGTAATAAATGGGATTGTTTATGTTTTACTGTTATACGTTCACTAAAAAATGAGAATTTTTAAATATGTTTAAAAATTATAATGCATTAGTTAATATGATTGAAAGTTATTTTTAAATATTACAAAATAAATTTTAAAAATTCCCCATGACAAACTTAATACATACGGTTTGGTATATATTCATCTCACAGCCCTTAGTCAAATTAAGTTCTTACCCTTTATAGGAAAAAGTTTGGGCACTCCTGAAATAAATAGTTTAACAAGCAAAACATATATATGTTTTTTTTTTTTTTTTTTTAAACAAAATCTATATTATTTAAGATTTTATTTAATAATTTGAAAGATCTTTTTATATAAGTAGTAGTTTTTACCATTTTACCATCATTATTATTATTTTTAATATTATTATTAATATTAATATTGTTGGAATATCAAGCCAATTCAATAAGAAAAGGTCTGGAGAGTGTTTTCTTCAATGCCAACAATATTAGTTATTTATTAGATTCAAATGAATAATTCGATGACAGAGCTCTGGGTTACGTTACCCCATTGGAATACAAGAATTACATTCAAGAGGTTTGCAACTAACTTACATTTCCTGACTCCAACATTTATACACAACTGATATTAACAGGTGGAATTTTGGTGTAGCGTCACTTATCAGTCATTCTGCAATGCTTTGGCTCTTGTACCCCCAGACATACTTCCTCTTTCTGCAACCCTTCTCTGCATACCAGAACTGAACAATTATGTGCATCTTTAATATATTTCACAACTTCTAAAAGCATCATGACAACTTGTGACATGTCTAGACTTTGTATTAAACAAAGGCCGCCACATTTTTCGCTTTTTCCACTTGTCAGCATGTTCCTTAAAAAAGTATGCAGCACGGTAAAAAAGAGGAAGTGTGTCTGGTCAAGATGTGTTATAATACAATAGAAAAGATTTACTTATCTGTTGTTAGTCTAAACGTTTTCCTAATAAATAAAAACACAGAAGTAATAAAAATACATTTCTTTTTTCCAACAATATTAAAACTAGATATATAAGTATAGCTTTTGTTCATTTTAATTTATGCAATTGAATTATATTTTCAAGTAAATCTAAACGAAAATATTTTCTTGTCAACTAGTTAAAACATATTCCACCAAATATTAATTTCTGTAGACATTTATGGCCATTTAACATATTTATGTGTTTTTTTTTTCTTTCTTTTTTGTCCTCGGTGATCTTTAATATATACTGGGTGATGTACTGTAACTACGCAAGATATTTTCTAAAACGTCAAGCAGGAACTTGTCTATAGCTCGTTAGTTAATTATTAAGACATAAAAAAACTAAAATAACAAAAATAAAATTATAAAAATATAGGAATATATAATAGTTTTTACATGCTTTATATCCTGAATTCAATTTGTTTCATATTTGTTTTTATTCAACTTGATGCATTCTTTATTTAATGTTTGAATACTGAAACTAAATAACAGCCATCGTTCAAATGGTTATATTTTACCATTAAAGTGTAATACATTTTATTCAGTTAAAGCACATCTTGTCCGTTTAATTTTAAATCCATTGTGTTGGTGTATAGAGCCAAAAATCGAGTCGATGTCCCAATATTTATGGACCTAACTGTATGTGTAACATTGATAACCTATGTATAAAACTGGAGGAACTGATGAACTGATGTCAACTGAATGGTTTTAAAATCTTTTTTTTCTGTCTTTTTTTTTTTTTGCTGTTTTGTTTGCCTTTTCTGTCTTTATAGTTGTTGTTGCTTTTTGTACTTTGTGCTGCTTTAAAGTCAAAATAAAAATATATTTAAAAAAACTACATAAATCACATAAATTAATCACTGACCTGCAGTTCACAGTAATACATTTTTTTCGTCAATATGTTTAAAACTGACTCTCACACAACACAATCTCACATTCCCTGTCTATTCATTCATTCATTCAATCATTCATTCATTCATTCATTTTCTTTTTGGCTTAGTCCCTTTATTAATCTGGGGACACCACAATGGAATGAATCGCCAACTTATCCAACATATGTTCTACGCAGCAGATGCCCTTCCAGCTGCACCCCAATGTGGGAAACACCCATACACACTCATTCACACAAACACACACACACACACACTTACACTACAGACAATTTAGTTTACCCAATTCACAGATAAGACCTGTCTTAGGACTGTCGGGGAAACCGGAGCACCCGGAGGAAACCCACAAACATATGGAGAACATGCAAACTCCACACAGAAAAGCCAACTGACCCAGCCGGGGCTCGAATCAGCGACCTTCTTGCTGTGAGGCGATCGTGCTACCCACTGCGCCACCGTGATGCCTGCCTGTTTATTTTTTTTAAGTTAATGTTTTTTGCTGTTTTTTCACCATATTTCACCACAAGTGTCACTTCCCAGCAGGCACAAGACGTTGCAGCTCAACGTTGTAAGGATGTTGCATTTTGGGTGGAAATAAAAATCAGTCCAACATCAGACAGACGTTGGATTTTGGCCCCTTTCCAATGCAACCTAAAAGCAACCAAATTTTAACGTCTAATGATGTTACAGATTGACGTTGTTTGGACGTTACCCCTATGACGTCTGTCAGATGTTGGATTTTGCTTGAATAAATGTCAGTATTTGACCTCAATATGACGTTGGTTTAAAATGTTGATTCAACATTGGATTTTGGTCACTTTCCAACACAACGTTGAATTTTGGTCAACATCACAACCTAAATCTAACCTAATAATGTTGTCTTATGACGTTGTGTGCCTGGCCTGCCGGGTTATATGACACTTTATTAAAAGTTTAAGTTTACTATTTTAAATGGTGTGGAAATACCTTTGTTTACATGCCCAATATTATGTAAATATAATAACGAAAAGGTCAAAGGATATGAATAAAAGTTTTGGGTTAGGGTTAATGTTTTTTTATTAAATATATATTAACAAATTTAAAACAATGTATATAAATAAATTAAAATATTTGAACAAGAATGGATTAAAAATTGGCAAAGCAGATCAAAATCCAAAATTTCAGCATTAAACTACTAGGAAATGATAGTTATTGTCATTTAAATGTTCCATGCACAAACCAAACTAGTTGTCTTTTCCATGAATTTGCCAAATCTTTCACACTTGGCCAAGAAAAAGTGCCCAGAAAGTTGCTGTCCTGCGTTCTCAGCTAAACGGGTGTCGTGTTGTGATCTGTTATGACAGGTTCAAGTAGAGAGTGGAACTGTTCCTTAACAGAGCTGGCAGTCGAAGCGATGGCACCGTTACAAGAGACATCATCCGAGTCCTCTGGGCCCTACAAACCCAGGCACATGAAACGCCCTGGCTCTCCGTTTATGCGTGTTGTTATATGAGAGGTGAGATAAATATCACAAACCAGAACACGACAAACTAAGCTCTTACTGCGTCTGAGAAAGTCAGCCGTCATTAATAATATCACAGTTTGACTGCGTGTGTGAACCGACTGCTGCTGTGCGTCTTTAAAAAATAATTATGCATGATCTGCTCCTCCTGCTAACCCAGATGCATACATATACATACACTGTATAATGTGCTCACAAGACAGAAATGAATCGCGAGATTAAAACAGCAAAAATCTGAATGTGTGTGCAGCCTCAACACACTAGATTTCTTAATTGTTCTTTATTATTTGCTGTTTGTACAGCCAGTTTGCCCCAGGAGCAAAGTGCAATATGCAGTGTGAAATGTTTTAGACAGCATTTTGCTACATTGCTCTCCATGATCCCATCATTCTGCATGTTTCATTTATGAAGAGTTGTCCAATTATCATATCTTGAAAATAAACACAGTTGCTTTGTGTTTAAAATTCCCACTTCATCTCCTGGTCTCTCAATGTTTCCATCCACCATTTTTATGCGCATTTTGCATATGTGCATGAAAAAACAGG